GCGATCGTCGTTGCAGCGGTCGTCTCGTCGTCATATCCTGTGTGTGCAGCAGACCGAGCGCACGCAGCAGCAGCGGAGTAATACAGTAGCAGCAGCAATGAACACCGAGTCAGTAGCCATTAGTAACAGCAGCAGCACACAGTAGTACGCATCTAGCAGTAATAACCAGTTAGCGAGAGCAGTGAACCACAGTAGTAGCGGAGCGTCAGTAGTAGTAGCCTCAGCAGTAGCTATCACGCACCAGCAGCAGCAGCAGCCAGCAGCCGTACCACACAAGTAGTCGTAGCCCACGCAGCGCAGCCGCAAGCAGTTACATAGTAACAGCAGTAACAGCAAGTCCAACACAGTAGTAGAGAGTAGCAGCGCAGCAGCAGCAGGCAGTTAACACCAGTTAAAGCAGCTAGCAGCCAGCAGCAGCAGCAGCAGTAACAGCAGCAGCCAGCAGCAGCAGCCAGCAAGCAGCCCAGCAGCGAGCAGCCAGCAAGCAGTAATACCAGTAGCAGCAGCAATAACACCAGTAGTAGCATTAGTAACAGCAGCAGCAACACCAGTAGTAGCATCAGCAGTAATACCAGTAGCAGCAGCAGTAACACCAGTAGTAGCAGCAGTAGTAGTAGTAGCAGCAGTAGTATCCACCAGCGCAGCAGACAGCAGACAGCAGCAGTACACAAGTAGTAGTCCGGCGGGCTGCAGCAGCCTCCCCCCCGCCCACGCGTCACCCAGTCAGTCACCAGCCCCCCAGCTCCACCACGAGCAGCAACACCAGTAACAGCAGCAGCAGCAGGTAACACCAGTAGTAGAAAGTAGCAGCAGCAGCAGCAGCAGCAGTAACACCAGTACAGCAGCGAGCAGCAGCTAGCAGCCAGCAGCAGCAGCAAGCGCAGCACAGTACAGCAACACCGAGTGATAGACAGCAGCAGCAAGCAGCCGCAGTAACACATTACACAGCAGCAGCAGCACAGCAGCAGCAACAGCTAGTAACAGCAGAGCCAGCTCGTGTTCGCCGACGTTTCACTCCGCGGTCTAGAAAAGCAAGTGCAGGTTCACTGCGAACACAACATCATAGGGGCACGGGGACCTGACCAGCACCCTGCCCTCGCGCCCCTCGCACGCAGCGCGTGTTGAACTACCTGGTTTGCTTCGCTATACTGTATTTCGAGACGACACCGGAGGTTTTCGTAACGGATTTTCAGCCAGTTGTCGGGCAGGTCATACGCGTTAACGGTTGTTGTATCGCTGCAGGTTCGCTAATATGCTGTAGATCAGCAAAGGTTGGACCGCCTCTTCTTGCTCTGCGATCCTCTACTTTGTGGCTGGCGTCCATAGCGTCGGCGCTTGCCTCGCCCGGTCGGCGACTTTGTCGTCACCCCAGTGAGCTGTGTTCTCCTGAGCTGATCTCTCCCCTCCTACTGTGTGCTGTGTGTGTGTGTGATGAGTGGGCGGGGGGGGGCGGCGGCCTCGTGTGCCCCGCGCGCGGGGGCGGGCTGCCCTCCGGGGCGCCGCCCGTGACTGCCGCTCTATTACTTCCTTCTGCAGCGCCCCGCCCATGCACGCTCCCCCCACGGCGGTCCTGGTCCGCGTACATGTGTGGGTTGTGTGTGTGTGTGTGCGTGTCGTAGTGTGTGTGGGGGGGGCGTATATTATGTGTGTGTGTGTGTGTGCCGCTGTGTGTGTGTGGTGGTTGTGTGTGTCGTCTGCTGTGTGTGGTGCGTGTGCGTGTGTGTGTGTTGCGTGGTGGGGGGGTGTATGTGTGCTTGTTGTGTGTTGTGTGGTTGTGTGTGTGTGTGGTGTGTTGTGGTGTGTGTGGGGGGGGGGGCCGTGCGGGTGCCATATAATCTGGCTGACGTCCCCTGCACAGGCGAAGCGCGCGGGTGACCGCTGCTACAGGCTGCCTTTCGTCCCTCCCTCCTGCGTCCGATTTCCCTTATCGGCTACCTACATTGCCTCTTCTTCCCATCTGAGCGCGGGACGCTTTGCTGGTTCGCTGTCGTGGTGCGGTGCGAGCGTGCCGTCGCCGGGGGGCCCCGCTCGCGCCGGCCGGTGGTGGCGGCCGCGGCCCTGCGGCTCGGTGGCGCGCGCGACGGCTGGGTGAGGTGGTCGGCGGCGGGCGCCCCTGCCCGTCCACGGCCTCGAAGCGAGTCGGGCGGCCCGACTGCCGGCCGGGTAGGTCGCCTTCGGCCTGCGTCTGGCGACGCTGCTGCTTGTAGCCGACTTCGTGTTGTGTGATGTGTGTGTGTGTGTTGTAGTGTGTCCGCCTTCGTATGCTGGTTGGCGTGGGGCTCAGTGCGCGCGCCGGGGCCGCGCCGGCCAGTCGGCGTTGCGGGAGCTGTGTGTGTTGCGTGTGTGTTGTGTTGGGGGTATGTGTGTTGTGTGTGTGTGCGCCGCGTCACGCGGTGGCGTTTGTGTTGTGTGTTGGTGCTGGTGATCCGGTCTGTGTTGTGGTGTGTGTGTGCGCGCGCTCACACATGGGTTCCTTTTATCCGTAGGAGTAAACATGCTTTACCGAGGATAACTGTGTTGCGTGTAGTGTGCTTGGTTGTCGACAAGCGATTGCAGCTGGCTTCTGTGTGTACGTGCCAGCGTGAAGCTGTGATACGTGCTGATGGATGCTTACATTAGTACACGATGAGCTGTTTTTTTCGCGCGTGAGAAGCTGTGTGTGAGAGAGCTGAGTATGAGAGAGGGAGCGCGAGAGGAGGCGGAAGAGAGCGAAGATGAGAGAGAGAGAGAAGGAGAAAGGCAGACGAGAATGTAGAAAGCGTAGAGAGCGTAAGATAGAGGATGGAGAGAGCTAGAGAGAGAGAGAGAGCGAGAGCGGGAAGAGAGAGAGGGAAGAGAGAGAGAGATGACGGCAGAGAGAGACGACGAGATGTAAGAGATGATGACTGAGAGAGAGAGAGCAGGAGAGAGAGAGAGAGAGAGAGAGAGAGGAGATGAGAGAAGAGAGAGGACAGAGAGAGAGAGAGGTTGGGGGGCGGGGCGGGGCGGGTGGCGTGACGGGGGTGGGGGGGCCACGCGAAAGGAGATGACTTGGTCATTCACTTATTAACTGATTCGGTTTCTCTGTAGCAGACAGAGATACGCTGGGTGTGGATATTTGTTACACTGTCCGGTGTATGTACTTGCATAATACTGCCGGAGTGGACTTACATCAGTGTTTTCTAAGGGAATTTCGGGGTATTTTTGTTTCAAAAACACCATAGTATTACAATGAGCTGCGTATACCAATTACTAGTAAACCATTACTAGTACATATCATCAGGATATCATCTGTTTCCTTGCCGCTAAACAAGTTGTCACGATCGTTTGTGCGCTGTGCGTAGCTGCGGATAACATTTACAAGGCCTAGTGTGTGCTAATCGTTTTTCCAGACCTGACATGTTTTTTATTTTACGAAACGAACACGCCCACGCTTACACACTCTTGCATATCCGCGCACACGCATGCACGCATGTATTCACACACATAAACACACGCGCGCACGCACGCGCACGCACGCCGAACGACACTACGGACGCACACGCACACACTGGGCACACGCCACATCATACAGCACGGGCGACAGTACGCAGCTCACACTACGGACGCACACGCACCACGCAAACACGCACCGCGCGCTTCACCACACCACACGTACACCACGCACAAGTATTTAGAATAAAGGAAACTTTAAGTCGACTTTATTACGCTCACTTCCTCGCCCAACGCTGCGGTCGTATACTCTCTAAGACATTGCACTGCACTATATACTGCTGAGGAAAGTAGAATAGAGCCTTCTCACAGGTAAAAGGCTGTGTGAAAAGGGCTGGCAGAGTGCAGTATTTTCATTTCAGGCTTCCACATGTATTCGTTTGGTTTATGTTATGGCACTTCTACTAATTTTATATATAGCACTAATATCCTACTAATTAATAGAAATATTAACTACTTCACATAATCTAACAGACCGAACAGTCGACTGTGCACTTTCTCGTTTTTTGCATACTCACTGTGCTTTCTTACATGTGAAAAATCTGTGGTCATGTTGTCGCGTTATTTGTGATTGGTGTGCGACAGAGTGACCTCGTGCTCAACTCTGCAGGAGCGGATACACGTGGTCGCTGCAATCTGACCGCAATATGCTGATGGCGTTAATGCCAGCTTCCGCTCGTTCGTCACTGACATATTGAGTGA